AATAGCGATGGCCTCCAACCTACTAGCAACGGCCTCCCCCGAATAGCCATGGCCTCCCCCCTTAATAGCGATGGCCTCCATCCTACTAGCGGTGGCCTCCAACCTACTAGCAATGGCCTCCGCCTAATAGCGATGGCCTCCAATCCACTAGCGATGGCTTGCAACCACTCTTGCAACCTACTAGCACAATGGCCTCCCCGTAATAGCGATGGCCTCCAACCTGCATAGCGATGGCCTCCAACCTACTAGCAATGGCCTCCCCCTAATAGCGATGGCCTCCAACCTACTAGCGATTGCCCCCAACCTGCTAGCAATGGCCTCCACCTAATAGCGATGGCCTCCAACCTACTACAGCAATGGCCTCCCCGTAATAGCGATGGCCTCCAACATCCTCCAACCTACTATAGCGATGGCCCTAACCTATTAGATCCTATTAGCAATGGCCTCCCCCTAATAGCGATAGCCTCCAACCGATGGCCTCCAACCCACTAGCAATGGCCTTCCCCTAATAGCGATGGCCTCCAACCTACTATTGCGATGGCCCCCAACCATCTCCAACCTACTAGCAATTGCCTCCCCCTAATAGCGATGGCCTCCAAGCAATGGCCTCCCCCTAATAGCATGGCATCCAATCTACTAGCATTGGCGTCCACCTAATGGCGGCGATGGCCTCCACCGTACTCCTCAACCTACTAGCGATGGATAGCGATGGCCTTGCTGGAATCCAGCAAAATCCCTCAAGTCCTCTGCCTCTTTCAGCCAATGGGTAAAATACCCACGAGTCTCCAGAAGTTCGTCTTGCAGCCGGTGTTGATTGCCATGTTGGGCCATGAAGGTAGGCAACAGCTTGTCCTGATGCCGGAAAACATGAGAGCGGGCAGCCTCATCAGCCGAACATCTCCGTTGCCGTTTGGTGCCTCTTTCCAATGGGAATGGACAAGACTGAGCCAAGGCCTCCTCAGGCATCAAGATGTCAGTGGGCCAGGACATGATGCAGTCCAACTCCTCCAACGCTCAATATTCCAGGATGAGATGGCAGGAAATTGCAGGTCATTTTCGTGAACCAAATATGCAATACCCAACCAACCAGCCTTCCGTGTACCCATCAGATCACCCAGTTCCAGCACATGAGTCACATGAGAAAATCTCAACTGATAGCCAGAGAACTAAAGAGCTCGCTGGATCCAAGCCCTATGGGGATGGAAATGGAAGGCAGCCACCTGTTCAAGGAGGATGAGCTTAGGTTGAAGCACTTTGCAGAGTGCAATACTACGCAGCAGCAGTTGGCCGTCGCTGCAATGTAGACCACGCTGATGGGCTGCTCCACTCCAAGGTGGACAGGGTGCAGAAATGGACACAATTTCAGCTCCCCAGAATGCAACCGCCTCATACCATGCTGGGTCCAAGGCATTTGCGCATAGGCACCAACTCTCTGGGAATGACAAGAGGGAGAGAGGAGGCAAATTCATCTCCATCCTGTGAGATATTGCATAGCTCCGAGCAGTAGCATAGTCAATCTCGATGGCGCCTGAGATGATGGAGAAACCCATCTCCGAAAGAATCTGTCCAGCGAAGCTCCAGCCGCCCCACGAGCCGCCAAAAAGGTGCAACACTGGGACAGGACCCTGAGTCGTTTTGCAGAGTGGCAAAACGCATGTGCGCCGATCAATCGCCAAGTCAGCTTCCTGGGTCGCATCCCAGATCATGCACTTACCTGCAAGTCCTTGCATGCACCAATTGTGCAAGGCTGCTGTATCAGGATCTTGCCATTTGAAGCGCAGCTTTTGGTTCATTGGCATGTCGTTGCCAATCCATATGCAATCCATTGCAATCATTTGCAATCCATGTGTACCTGGGCCAGACTCCTGCCTGCACATACTAAATGTGAGGCCTCAAAGGCAAAAAGATCAGCTTCATCTCGCAATCCAAAGTCCTGAACCAGCAAGCTAGGCCTGTCGGAAAGACCTCCATGGTGATCACCCCAACGTGAAAACTCGTCTAGGATCCTACGGATCCCATCCTCCAGGTCTCGCCCAATTGGTACCCCCTCCCTGGGGGGGAACCACCCGCATCGCGGCGCTGATGCCAAGAGGTTTGGGCCTTGAGGGCTACTAGCGATGGCCTCCACCCTAGTAGCGATGGCCTCCAACCTAATAGCATGAGATGATGTGCAAGATGTTGCAAGGATTCTTTTGCTTTTTAAGGCACGATAGAGTCCGAAGGGGGTTGTAGAAAGCAGGTTGGTGCACGAAAACAACTAAGGCATACAAAATTTAGTCGGGCATCTAATTTTTTGACTAAACACAGCAGTTTCGTGCACGTTACAGGCCCGTTTTTGCAGTTGGGCTGCATCATTTATGTTTGTTTTGGCAGATGCGTGTTGAAGGCTGCCTAACCTATTGCCAAGTTCTTCTGGCTGAGGTGTTTTGTGATTCCTTTGTCCCGTCCCACAAACTTTACTATTTGTAAGACAGGTTGCAATGGTATCTGGAACTGAAGCAGAGAATTGCAGGGAACTGGTGAGGATGCAAGCTATGTGGGTCCGTGTGTGAGGTACTTGAGCACATATGAGGATGTCCAATCCTTGGTGAATTTCATCGTGAACAAATACCGCAAATGAGAAATGAATTCAATTGAATCTTTACATGATTTTAAGTCAATGTTTCCATTCAATTCATTTTTTGGGCGCCGGGACACATGTCCATGGCAGGGTCCAACAGGGACTTTTGGCAGACCTTGCTCCAAACAATTGTTTTGGCCAGCAACCTCATGCGGAGCCAAGCTGGCTCTTGTACAGTCAGTTCAGCCAGAGTTGGGAACCTGAATGTATCCGCCAATCTCGATGGGCCTGTGTGAAACATCATGGTAGATTCATGGTAGCATGAAATTTGAAGGTCCTAAGGTTCATGAATGTCGACAGCTTCTATACCACCTTGGTTGTTTAAGGTCCTTTGAATGCTTGCATCCTTTGTCGGTTTAGAATCATGACACCTTTCACATTATATTATTGAACTTGTAGAGGAAAACCGCAAATTGGAGGGCCATGATGGGTTGTTTTATCGATGGCAGGTGACCTATACTTGTGAAGGCTTCTTGGAGAAAAACGTGGACAAACCTCCTGATGAGGCCGTTGCACCAAGACAACATCGCATCATAAAGAAGAGAAGATAGAGAAATCAGAAACAGGAAGGTATGAGCAGGAGAAGAAGAGGAAAGACATGGAAAAAGGGATGTGGATGGGATGGATATCAAAGCTGTTGCCGTAATGTACTCAAAATTCCTAAAGGCAACTTTTTGTTTGGCTGCTTCCTTGTGGGTGGTCAGTGGGATGGTGCCCATGATTGCCATTGCTTTGGAGCACATGGATTTCTGTACCTGGCCTTTGGAAGGCTCCAGATTTGCTGAAAGCATCTAGCCTCTCAGTGCTCCAAGAGGCGCTGTCTTTCATTGACAAACCAAACTTGGTTGCTGGAAGTGTTCTGACTAAAGGAAGAAAGAACGGAAGGAAATGGGTAGTATGCCCACCTTTGGGACGGTTCTTCTGGGTTGGAGATGTGCTTACTCTGCTATGCACTGGCACTGGCTTGCTTGTGGATTGATGACGCAAGACTCGTGTAGTCAAGACCCTGCTAGACATGCGAAACAAGTTTCGAGGCCAACACGTAGTATGGAATATTTGCAGATACAGTATGTATCCTGGCATCACGATTTACAAAGCCCAGACGGTCACATGGATGCTTTGGGTGCAGATTGGTACAACAATCGCTGAAGAGTTGGCTGAAGCAACTGGTGGTCCTGGCAAGAAGAAGGCCTGGGAACGAATGCAACTTTCCTTAAGAATACAACGACGATTCCTGCTGTGACACAATGATTCTCCATGTAGAGAGTAAGAATAATGAGGCAGAGGCCTCCAGTGGTGAGTCCTCCAGCTGTTTGCGAGTTTTTGCGAGTCTTGCGAAGGCAAAAACAGTCAGCTCTGGTTTCCGGAGCTCGTTAGCGTCATTGGCTGGAGATCTCAGAATCCTTCACAGCAGACAGTTTGTAGGACTGGTGGAAGAACGAAAGCTCCTGCTGTCCTGAGTGTCCTGCTGAGCCCGTACTGCAGTAGTTTAAGGTAAGCTATGGCTGGCACAGCACAAAGTAGACTGTTGCGTGAGTAGCAGTCCATTGATGCAATATTTCTGTTGATTTTTTTCAGACATTCCAGTTTATACCATGTAACAGGCAGCCGTCCAATACACATGTGCGATGTTACGATTTCAATGAACCCCTGAGGTGCAAAAGTTGAACGAGGCTGATCCTCACTTCATCCGTTGCGTGAAGCCCAACCCGGAAAAGGTGGGCTGAAGTCCAAAGACACAATGTCACAAGGTTGTTGAGAAACAGTAGGTCCAAAGGTCTAAAAGTCTAAAGAAGGGAAAAGCAACAACAAAACACAAAAAAGGAACGAGTTCTTGTTTTTGATTGTTTTTGCTGGTATACAATGGGACGTGAAATCCATTCCAAGACGAGCCTAGCAGCACGAATATCATTTTCTTGGATCGAGTCATTGGTTTCAGATACAGGCTGCTAGTTTGAGACGGTTGCAGTATTGCTTCGCCATTGTATGCAGGTTCCGGACAAATTTGCCTCTACCCTGGCCATGGAGCAACTTACTTGTAGCGGTGTCTTTGAGGCTCTTCAGTCCCCCTCCCTCCCTCGCTCCCTCCCTTTGTTTGTTTCTTTCTCTCTTTCTCCCATTCTCCACAAACATGACACATATTTCGTACAAACAGCATTGGAGTCTTGACAGCATTTCTAGTCCTGGAGTTTTCAGGCAGTGATTGTTTGGAGTGGTTTCAACTCGCTGCATTTGATGTCAATGGCTAGGCTAGGCGAACAGCAATACTCTTGACAGGCTGTTCGCATCCGCCAGTCTGGCTTTGCAGCTCGCGTCCCCTTTGGAGACTTTCTTGGCCGCTACAAGATTGTGGTGCCAAAGGTGCTAAGCTGGTATTGTTGGTCTCCTATGTTCAGCAGATTGGCTATTTGACCTTCATGTGAGGAACATGTTGCTTTGTCAAATCTCATTTACGGTTTCTGGTGTACCCTGCAATGTCAACGGATTCAAACAATGCCTCCTGCCTGCTAAAGTTGAGCGTGACAAGCATCGACACTACATCCTAGCTTTCTAGGACTCCCCCTGTTTGAGAAACTGGCAATTTGTCGGCAATCTGCTGCCCTTTCAACAAGCCGTGGGAGCTGTTTTGGTGCTACTCCTCTTCCAAAATGAGCCCATCTATACACATCCTTCTAATAGCCACTTTTCCTATTCGTCATCATTTATCGATCCTAGGTTAAAGACCTGTTTGACATCTCTCTAGAACCTTCTTTGGCAGGCAAAGCTGAAAGCCATCCTCAGTTCAAGCTCGGAAGCGGACCGAGCCAAAGCTTTTGCAGAGGACGGCTCCCTTGAGCCTGAAAAAAGAGCAATTGTTCAATTGGAAAAATATGTTGAAGCAACTGCAGATCATGGAGCGACGAGCGATGCCAGTCCATCATTGGACCTCTCATTAAATGTCGCCTGTATTATGGCGGGTTTACGACTGAAAATGCTTGAATCCTTTACTTGAACAACCTACATTGGGAAGCACAGAAAATCCAAGTTGGTGATGGCTCAATTTTTCTGGGTCTGATGTATTCCGTTCTCAAACTTCTCCATGGCTGGGAACTGGCAGAGTTGCTGCCGTTGTGATAGAGACTGACTGCCTCCTCCGCTTCTGCCAAACATGCGCAATGTGTGCAGGCCCTGCCAGAAGCCTTGGCTCCCTTGGGCGGTTGTGCAACTGGAGATTTAGTCCGCCCAGCGGCATTGCTTTAGAGAACAGAGAGGTTGCTTTAGAGAGGTTGGGTGTTTTCTGAACAGACGACACGGCTTCTTTACAGTAGCCACTTTGGTGCCAACCGACATTTGTATCCTGTCCGAAGTCCAGTTCATAGCCTTCATGCCGGTATACAACAGTTGGAGCAAGACCGGCCTTGCTGAACTTGAGGGCTTCCGTTCTCATGCTACTTCATGTTGCATTGCAGGTCCTTGGAAAGAGCAAGGTGTTTGCAAAGCAGCCTGTGATGATTCGGCTGGACAAAGCAAGGGACATGGCAGTCTCAACGTGCTCCTTGCTCTCAAAGATACCCTAATTTTGCTCAGGCTTGTGTAGTCGTGTTCAATAGGTTACCTGAGTTTGTTGTCCGCTTTAGCTTGATCTTCTCTGTGCTGACTCGACTAGAGGCATCTCAGCCTGACAGAGGTACGCTATCGACATCCAGAGAGTGTGGCGCGGCTACAGGTCTCTTATACAACATCATACAACATTGCAGCATATACTCCTGAACCTTGCCTGTGTGAACCTGCAAGGAAATGGTTCTATTCATTTGTTTGCAGGACACGAAAGATGCTGGCAACGTGCAAGGTAGTAGTCGCCCCAGCATGTACTGTCCAACTAAACCATAAGAGTAGAAATTTCCACACTACTTGTAGAAAAACATTTTTTTTTTGAATTGTTGCTCGAGTCCGGCTTCTCCGGCTTGATTTCAGGAATTGTTACACTAGTCCGGGTAAAGTTGCTCAACATGATGTTCTCCGGGTGTATCACTATTAAAGGTTTTTGTATGTTAAGTATAAGTAAATTATGATGTTTAATGATGTTTACTATCTCATGTTTGTTTTTTGCCACAGAAAGCTGTCTTTTCTCCCTTTCACAATTGCTCTGCGTCATCTTCTGACTCCTTTGACAGTGGCCTTTGCCACTGCTGGTGGAGGCTTGTCAGGTAAATATCGTAGGTTCGAGAAATTGTATCTTTGGGGCTGACCCTCCTACTATATCGTGATAAGACTCCAATAAAGGTCTCATCCATTTGACATGAATCAGTAAGTGGAGATTCTGTCCATTCATTGGCCTCCGCACTCAGTTCCACAAAACGAAAAGCATGAAACAACATGTGAAACTTTGGATACACCGGGAACCGTGGTTGCCGCAAGGCCACTGACAGAACTGCCAACTTCCTGTACCCCCTCATGCTTTGCAAACCCAAAAATGCAACTCGCTTTGCAGTAGCTTGATCTAGCCATGCCCCAGATCTATACAATGTTCGAAACAATTCATTGATGGATCGCAGCACCAGTAGCACCAGCTGCAGCCTTTGCTCCGATGCCACCAGTTCCACTCGTGATGGATCGCTCAGCCACACCTCCATCCATTCCTTAAAAGTGCAATGCTTCAATGCCAGGTTGGAAAAGTACACACACCAAACCAGTCAAGCCATGCATCGCACAGCAGCGTCGTAGTGCTCGCTTTCTGCCAGCCGCCATCTGGCCAGTACAACCTAGAGGCTGCATCATGGAATCAGATGTTGTGAAATCTATAAAAGCAATCTGCACATCCAGCACCCAAACATTTTTTGGCTAACTATAAAGGCGAAGATGCCCTCCATGGAAATCAAGTGTGCCCTTCGATATGCTGGTGAAATATGGTCTCTCCCGCATTCCTTGGACCCACTTCCCAAGTAAAAGACAATTTAGACAGAACATCAATTATAAGGCATCAATACGCAAATTAGCCCAGTTGCTTTTGCAGAAACTCA